TTGTAGAATTCAGCAGTGAAGCCATCAGGACCTGTGCTTTTCTTTGTTAGCAAATTTTTAATTACGTTTTCAATATCACTGAGTGTAATTGGGGTGCTTAGAATTTTTATATCTTCTTCATTCAACTTTCGTAATTCATATGTATCTAGGAATCTGTCCATTTCTTCTGTGTTTTCCATTTTATTAGAGTACAGGTTGTCAGAGTAGGTATTGATGATCCTCTGGATTTCTGCTGGATCTGTTGTGACTTCTCCTTTTTTGTTCCTAATTGCATGGATTTGCACCATTTCCATTTTTTGATAAGGTTGGCTAAGGATTTATGGATTTTGTTTATTCTTCTGAAAAACCAACTCTTTGATTCATTGAGTTTTTTGTATTGTTCTCTTCATCTCCATTGCACTGATTTCTGCTCTGATCTTTATAATTTCCTCCCTTGTAAGAGCTTTGGGTTTGTCTTGCTCTTCTTTTTCTAGGAGCTTGAGGTTCAGCATTAGGTTGTTTATTTGGTTCAGCATTAGGTTGTTCACTCTGTTTCCCTAGTGTGGATATTCACTGCTATGAATTTCCCTCATAAAACTGCTTTCACTGTGTCCCATAGATTCCTGTATGTTGTACTGGCATTATCATTTAGTTGCAAAAACTAATTTCTTCTTTAATTTTCCCTGTGACCCATTGGTTGTTCAGGAGAGTGTTATTCAATTTCCTTGTGTTTGTGAAGTTCTTGCGGTCTCTTATGCTATTGATCTCCAGTTTAATTGCACTATGGTCTGATAATATACATGAGATAACTTCAGTTCCTTTGCATTTACTTAAACATGTTGTATGAGCTAGTATGTCATCTGTTTTTTAGAGAATGACACATGTGAACCTGAAAACAATGTATATTCTGACTTTGTGGGGTGGAACACTCTGTAGATGTCTGTTAAGTCCATTTGTTCAAAAGCTTGGTTCAGTAAACAGGGAAGGATGGAGGGGTTGAAGAGAGGTCAGGGGAAGGGGGAAAAAATAAGAACCAAGAGACTTTGTAAAGGTGCATATCTCCAATGATGAATGTCATTATATTGTACACCTAAAATGTACCAAAAAAGGATGTACCAAAAAAAAAAAAAGCTTGGTTCAGTTCTAGTATTTTGTTTTTGATTTTTTGTCTGGATGATCTGTCTGTGACAGCGGGGTATTGAGGTCCCCCACTACAATTGTATTAATGCTTATTTGGTTTTTCATCTCCCTTAATATTTGTTTTGTATAATTGGGGGCATTAGTATTTGGTGCATATATATTTATGATTGTCATCTCTTCCTCTTGGATTTTTCCCTTTACAAGGATATAGTGACCTTCTCTGTCTCTTAATTAGTTTTGGTTTGAAATTTACTTTGTCTGCAAATAAAATAACTACCCCTGCTTTTTTCCAGGTTCTTGTTGCATGGAAAACTGTTTTCCATCCTTTTACTTTCAGTCCATGAGTTTCTTTTTCAACTAGGTGCATTTCTTATATACAGCATATTGTTGGATTTTGCTTCTTAATCCATTCTGCCAATCTATTCCTTTTGATTGGTGAATTGAGGCCATTAACAGTGATGGTTATAACTGATATGTATTGACTTATCCTTGTCATGTTATTTTCCTGTTGGCTCTTTTTTATTTTTTCTCCCTCTCCTTTTAATTTCTTGCCTGATGGATTTGCCTGTTGAACCTCATGGAGTTTTGACGTTCATTGTCTTTTTCTAGGATATTGTTTAGAATTGTTTGGAGTGCTGGTTTGGTATTCATGAAGTTTCTCATGTGTTCTTTGTCATGGAAGTATCTTATTTCCCCATCAATTTTGAAAGATAGTTTTGCGGGATACATCAGTCTAGGTTGGAGGTTGTTTTCTTTTAGGGCTTGAAATACCTCACCCCAGACTCTCCTTGATTTGAGGGTTTGTGTTGAAAGGTCTGCTGTGATTCTGATGGGCTTTCCTTTGCATGTGTTTGTTTCTTTAACTGCTTGTAGTATTTTGTTCTTCTTTTGGGTTTCTGGGATCTTGATTATTATATGTCTAGGTGTAGGGGTTTTTTTATCATGGCTAGCTGGAGTCCTATATGCCTCACTTATCTGTATGTCTAATTCTTTTGCTCTGTTTGGGAAGTTTTCTGTCATTAATTCTGTGAACAGTGTTTTTATGTCATTTGTACTTTCTCCTGCTTTTTCGTGGACTCCTATCAGTCTTATATTATTCTTCTTTGCATCATCTAGGAGCTGTTGGATTGATTTCTCATGGTCCCTTACTAGTTTTAAGAGATCTCTTTTCATGATCAGTGACCACCATCCTGTCTTCTATATCTGATATTCTGTCTTCAGATTGGCTCAGTCTGCTGTGTATACTTTCTATAGATTTTTTAATCTCCAGGATATCTATTTGAATCTGTTTCATGTATTCCATTTCTTTCCTATGCTGGCCATTCATGGCTTCCATCATGGTCCTGAACTCATCTATTTTTTTTTATCTGTTTCTGTTCTAAAGTCTCTAATCACGTCTTTCATTCTGCTAACCACCTCTGTAGTTATCTGGGAAATTATTTCTGTTTTGAATTTTTCTAGTGCCTCATTTATCTGTTTTCTTACTTCCTGTGCTATCAGTTCAGGGTGTCCAGGTGGTTGATTATCAGACTTTTCCACCTCGCTTCCCCCAGAGTTTGCCTTTGGTGAGCTGGAAGTCTGGGATTGTGCCTTATTTAAATGTCTTCTCATTTCTGTTTTTGTTGTTGGTACTGTCCTTGGTTTAGTTCCTGGGTTGATGATTCAATATTGCTTTTTGAAGGTTTCTTGGGGTTTTTTGTTTGTTTTTTGGGGGAGTACCTGGGATTGAAGCAAGGCAGGTAGCGGAATATTGTAGGTATCTTTGTTCCTTGTATTTAGAACCCTATGGAATGATTGCTTCTCAGTGGTGTCTTCCAGATACAGCTGATCTTAAGGTTTTGAGTCTCTCATGACTCTGGGGCAATCTCATTTTCATTATACCAGAGGATAACTGATTAAATCAATCACAATACCTTAGCCCAAAGGATACAGTCAGCAACACAATAGCATCAAGTTCACCTTAGAAAATGACAGTTTGTGGTAGTTATTAATCTATCACCTTTAACCATGTGAATTAAATCAAAATTGAGGACCAGCCCAAAATGTTTATAGTGAATAAACTCTTCAATATAGCAACTTACTCTTCAGGACAAGGACTTAGAAGAAGTTGGGGAGGGGGGCATAGATAGGTAGAAGGATAGGGAAAGGTTAGAAGTGAGGCCCGAGGACACAGGACCGCAAACTCTAAGGAACTCTAAGGAACAAGAGGAAAAGACAGAATGAAAGAACAAAGACAAGAACAGAACAACCTATCAGCAGTAGGGAAGCTAGAAACTGTATTCACTTTCCTTTGAAACTAATGACAATCAGGAGAAGGAAAAAGAGAGAAGAAAAGAAGAAGCAAGAAATAATATGAATAAGGGCAGGAACAGGAACGAAAAGGGAGATGAAGAACAATGTGGGAGAGCAAGAGAGTGAGAGAAAAGAGAAAGATGAAAGAAAATAAATTTGAAAAGAATAGAAAACAATAACTAGAAATTAAAAATTTTAAATAATAGAATAAATAATTTTGAAAATAAAAAATGAAAATGAAGGGCCTCCTTTGGGATATGTCTGTGCTGTCACAGTAGACAATGTGGGCAGCAGTGTGCAGATCTAAATCAGTGAGTCTCAGCAAGCCAGCAGCAGACCCCTGAGATTCAGGCTGATTTCTGGCTGCAAGGTCCCAGTTGAGCTCCCTGACCTCCTGCAGGGTTGAACTCTGCAAGGTTCTACTGCAGGTTCCAGCAGCCCTTCCCCTGAAGATAGTCCAGGTTCTGAAGGGAGGTGACGGCCCCTCCAACTTACCAACTATGGTGACCTGATGTGCCTTTATTTCAGAGATTCTCCTCACTTTTCTAGTGGGCTTCAATTTTCATCAAGGAGCCTGAGAGAGGCCCTTTCTGTTGTTCACTTCTGCTCTATCTTCTAGAGCTCAGGACAGTGGTCTTTATGACTCCTTGTTCCTCTGGGGTGTGGATCCAGGTACAGGCACAACCAGGAGGCCAGAAGGGGGTGGGGTGCTCCAGGCTCCTGTCTGGCTCAGCTCCTCCCCAGACCGCCCCTGGCTGGGAGGCCTGCAAGGGGTTGGTATAGTGAGGATGGCTCCAGGCAGCTCCGAAGAATGTCATTTTATAGACCCACAGATACCTGGGTCTCTTTCATCTTCTTCAACGTTATACTCCTTTTTTTAGTAATTTTTTTAGTACATGTTTGTAATTCATATAGTTTACAGTCATCTTGAGAAGTGGTTACATGTAGATACCACAGCTTGTTGGTTTTTTTTAATCCTCTTCCCTCTGACCCCCCATTCCCCTACCCCAGTTTTCATTCTTGTTAGTATTATTGATCTTAGCTCTGGAAAATATAATGTTGAGTGAAATAAACCAGACACACAAGCTGAAATACCATATGATAGCTCTCATTTGAATGAGGCAAAGAACAAACAAAGAGAATAATGAAAGATGGATGGAAGGGGACAAGGAGCTGTATCTCTTGCAATAGGGAGGTGGTCCAAGGAAACAAGCATGAGGGGTGAGGACGAGGGGAAGGGAAAATACATAGAATAAAGATATGTCCTGTACAGGAGCCTAATAACCTCAGTTATTAGAATATTCTATATTCTATATTGGAAAATTTCTTTTGTTCTAAAGTTCAGGAATCCTTTTCTAGCACATAAGTTACTTATAAGTGGTGTTATATGTATGACTTTGGTTTGGATCTTGTATTTGTAACTCCTGTTGAGCTTTTTGAGACCATTGTTTTGGGGTTTTGGTTTTTTAAATTTATTATATGGCCTAATTGGTGGTCAGTGGTTGTGAAAGCCCTACAAGGACTCAGAAATGTCTTTGGGTTTGGGAATATACGCTAAATTAAGCTTGTTAACTTTGCTTATATTCCAGTGTTTATTACTGATTGAACAGCGTACATCTTTGCACTTCCTTACACTGTGGAGTTCCAGCAATAAACCACTCATCTGACAACTGCTCTGGTTCACATTCCATTCTGGCCAAGAGACAGTAAAGTAAAATACTCAATATTTCAGTTGCTCAGGTCAGAGAGAAATGAAGGAGTATGTGATGGGTAGAACTACTTCCCTATTAGAGTTATCACTGCTTAGGTGACATTTTGTAGATGCGGACATACAGAATGGCTTTTATTTGGAGGGTGCAGCCTTCCTGGCCTAAGGTTACCCATGTGTAAAACAAAAGTAATTCCATGTCCCACAGTGTGCTGAGGTAGAAATAATGGATCTGAAATCCTAACATGGGCTGGTCTGTATCCTAATAGTGATATGAGTGGTTTTGCTGTGAGAGGTTGGTAATGGTGATTTCCAAGCTAGGGGCTTGACGTAGAAACTGGCTGGAAATTAGTTGGTGGCTTCCATATTGTGGGCCAGAGCCTGTTGACGTAGGGATAAAGAGGAGAAAGGGATGCCACCTGACCTTGCATATTCCCCCTACAGGCTTATGGAGAGATTTCTCGTGAATGGATTGTATCCTTTAAGGTTGGGGATGCCCCTGGTTTGTGTGGCTCCTCCCATACTCGAGCTCAGAATGTTGCCCACTCCTTGGCACCAGCACCCCAGGAAAGAGCGATGGATGGATGAATGCTCAGGTTTCTTCACACTGTCCTCTCACCAGTGGACCTGCGTGACATCACACAATCTCTGCTCTCTTGGAGCTTACTCATATTTGGGTTTATCTTATATCAGGAGAGCAATATGAAAGGCTGAGAACACCCTGTCTGTTTTAAATCCTCCTCCTCAGATGCTCAAATCCTCCTCTTTCATACCTCTGACTTGGGCAAGTCACCTAACCTCAAACCTCAAAGAACAAGCCCCTCAACATGACTTTTGAAAGTTTCTAATATGAATAAATTTTGTAAAATATGAGTTACTACATCTCCCTTCTCCCATAAATTTTTGTATTATGCAAGATTGAAATGAGGCCCCCCCACCCCGCAACTAAGAAGTTTGGGATTTTTTGTTGTTTATGTTTTTATGGTGCCAGGGATTGAAACCTGAGCCTCACACATGCTAGGCAAATGCTTTACCACTGAGCTACATCCCCAGCCCTTTTTATTTTATTATGAGAGGGTCTCATAAGTTGCACAGGCTGGCCTCAAACTTGTGATCCTATTGCCTGAGCCTCCCACATAGCTGGGATCACTAGTGTGAAACATCATGCCCACTTAACTGGGAGACTTTTAAAATGCTTCCCTGATGGACCACTGAGAGCTGTAGGTAAGAAAGCCCATAGAGCCTGCTGCTTCTTGCCCTGGCACCCAAGGCTGAGGTTTGTCACCTGGGGATCTCCATATATTCTGCACCACCTCATACCAAGCACTCCCATGCACCCGCCTGCCCACATCATCTTGGCTTTACTGTTAAACCATTCGGCATCTTTTAGCTAAAGGAGGCATTACCCGCTGAACCTCTGGCTAATGTCGGTTTATAAACAGCCTATTAGCTGTCTGACTTGTAGGAGCTTTTCTCCATGGAACAGTCATGTTACTGCCTAGAGTTAGGATTTCCATTCTATCTTACAAGAACTGTATCCATGAAGGAGTTGCATCCACAGTTGCATTTTCCAACTTCATGATGCCCCTATGACAGCTTCTCTGTAAAATCCTGTTTCATGTTTACCTCACGCTTAGATACTGGGACACATTCCCAACCTCTGCTGCCCTTGCCCTTCTGTGGAGCTTGTGCCAATGAGAGGCTGAACCTCAGCCTGAAAGATTCATTCAATTTAAAATCTAGGTAATTCAAAAAAGAAAAGGGGGAAATGAGCCTGTTCCATCACACAAAACTCCCACCTCACCATGCCTTCCTAACTTCCCTTTTATTCATCTTCACTCCTTAACCTGAGTGCAGTCAGCCACAGCAGCTGTCCACGTACGCCCTGACTCTGTATAAGCATACAGCCACTGTGGACGGCAAGACCATCCTTGTGGGTGAGCACCATGGACAGAGGCCACACTGAGCCTCAAGAAGAAACTCAGAGAGGAGGAGGTCCTTGGTATATGTGCTGCCAAAGCAAGCACGAGGAGGTCCTTGGAAGGGAATCAGGCGGGAGGAAATGGAGGAGCCAGAGCCAGGGAAGAGGAGGCAGACCCAGCACCATAGCAAGGACTAGTGCGTTGGGCAGGATTCAGAAAAGCAGACTTGCTGAATATAGTGCACATACCTTAATCCCTGCACCTAGGAGACTCAGATAGGATTCCAAGTTGGAGGCCAGCCTCACCTGCATAGCAAATTCAAGGCTGGCCTGACTACATAATAAAATCACATCTCAGAAAAGAAAGAAAGAAAGAAAATAAGAAACTCTTGAGAGCTGTACTGCCAGAGCTTGCTCTAGAGCACAGAGGCCTTGGACAAGGTAGTATCTTTTCTTATTTCAGGGTTTCTCATTCACCTAGCATAAAGAAATAGCAAATGCAGCCAGCTCATGGTCTCCCACCCTGAACTTGACCATGTGTGAGGTCCCAACTTGTCCAGGCCACACATCCTGCCTGACTGTCCACCACCTGTGATCACCACACACAGAAGTTCTGCATCTTGAGTACAGGGATAAAGGGACCTCCTTCCCTCTTCCTGAATAGTCTGCACTGTCCTCCCTCCTAGCCTCTAGCCTTGGGTCTCCCCTACTCACTAGCATAACACATTTTCTCGTTGCACCCCTGGACACTCTGTTCTGAGGTCAGGCTCTTCACATGTACTTACATACAGGCTGTGGTTTGCATCACATATGTATCTTGTCTCTAAATACAGAGACCTGTTCAGAAATGCATGGGACATGTGGGTCTCTGTCCTCCAGCCCCATCAGACAATTACAGTTGTGTTCATGTTGCAGACTTTTGGGATACGGCAGGCCAGGAGCGGTTCCAGAGCATGCATGCCTCCTACTACCACAAGGCCCATGCCTGCATCATGGTACGAGACCAGCCAGGAGGTGGACAAAGGTGCTGGGAAAGTGTGGCCTGAGGAATAAAGGAGAGAAGTGGTTCAGCAGTCCTGGGTCCCCCTAACCAAGCTGGGTGCTCTGGGAAAGGGGATCAGGACCACCAGGAATGCTTCAACCTCACATACTGTGCTCCCCAGAGCTTCTGAGTGAGCAGAGTGAGGGAGGGCAAAGGAAAGGTAAAGAACTACCATTCTAGGGAGTGCATCAAGCTCAGGAGTCCACACAAAGTGCTCAAGAGGCAAACCTGGCTGAGATGAGCCACAGTCCCTCCCTAACCGAGTGCCTCTCTATGAGGGACTCATGGAGCCTCCCTCCATTGTTGCCTGCTGCTTCCTAAGGACCTTTCTCATTCAGACTGTCCCACACCTCCCTCCCAGGCTCTCACTGTGCTGTCTAGGACCATCATCAGGACCCCAGCCAGTGGCCAGTGGGTAGTAAGCCCATAGGAATGCCTAAAATGCAGCCGGGAGAAGGGCTAAGAAGTGAGAAAGGGATCATGAAAACCCGTGTCCTCTGGGAGCTCCTCCCTGTGAAAGCCGGGCGCAGTTCTCAGACTCGCACTCTTAAGACAGTGAAAAGGAATGTTTTTTCTTTTGGTCCACATAAACATTTTCATAAATATTAGCCATCTGTAACACAAGAAATAATAGACTGGTTTGGGTGTTTGTTTTTGTACTGGGGGTTGAACCCAGAGCTCATGCTAAACCCTTATCACTGAGGAGCACCTCCAGCCCAATAGACTGGTTTTCTGAATTACGAACCCTAGCAATTGTCACCAACTGAAAAATCTCAGACACTCAAACTTCTTTGAAGAAGCATTCAAAGTCACACAAAACTCAAAACCTGGTGGCACACGATAACCATTTTCTGCTGAGTCAGGAATCCACAAGGCCTGGGACCTCAACTGAGAAGAGCCCCATGCTGGGTGCCAGGCATCTCCACACACCCACTGGCAGCTGGATGGGCCATTAGCAGGACCTGCTCCATGCATCTCCCCTTGTATGTTGGTGTGGGCAGATGTGAGTTTGCTCATAGAATGCTTCTGTATCCCAAGAATGAGCACCCTAGGAGACCAGGTAGGAGTTGCAGTACCCCTGTGGCCTGGTCCTGGAAGTCACATGGTCTTACTCTGGCTATTGTCACAAAGGGAAGAAGCAGGTCCTGCTCTCAGGGTGCATAAGTTGCCAGTCATTATTGGTATGTAACGTATGCCCTCATTCTTCATAGCCTACCCCTACTTGTTATTGCCTGTAGATACGCAAGCTTACTCTGGCCCTGAGTGAGTGTCATCTCATCCGTAAGGGACAGAAGCTGAGGGGAAACTTGAAACACTTATCATTTTTCAAGCCTTATGTAGATGCAAGATGTTTTATCATTAGGATTATTCTTTCCTGAGTGCACCCACAGCCCTCTGACCACTTCCGGCACGTGGATTCTACCTGTAGTGTGCATGGGCAAAATGCTAAGGTAGAAAGATGCACATGCTATCCACAGGTGCTCACCAGCTGGTAGGCACAGGGGGAAACAGTGAAGAGTCTTCCCTCCTGATCCTGTGCAGGGCTCATCACCTGACTCCTCCCACCATTTCTTAAGTCCAGAAGCTCTTGAGAATTTGCAAAGTTTCAATACTAGTAACCAAGAGTACTAAACAAAGGAGGGAGATGCAGCAAGGCGCAAGGGAGCTATGTGGTGCTAGAGTCTGACCCCTCAGGAGCAGGGACGTTAGTCATAGCCATTTTCATTTCATTCCTGGACTGGCATTTGGTATTTGAGCTTGTCTCTTTTCTAAGAGTCACCTGTATGTGATGTATCCATTGGTTCCTCTCAGATTCTCTTCTAAGAATGCTGGTCTGAGTTCCTAGCCTATGTCATGTGCCATACTCACCTGCCTGGGTGTGGAAGTCACATATAGGTGGCATGCAGAAACATGGACACACCCAAGCTGCCTGCTTCTGCCCCTTTGCAGGTCTTCGATGTACAGAGGAAAGTCACCTATAAAAACCTGAGCACCTGGTATGCCGAGCTTCGAGAGTTCAGGCCAGAGATCCCATGCATCGTGGTAGCCAACAAAATCGATGGTGGGGCCATCCCTGCATCTGGGTGAAGTGGTTTGTGGGGACCCAGTCCACACATATCCCCCTCCCTTCCTGGCATAGGCAGCCTCCAGTATTTGTCCTCCTTTGGGAGATGCTCCCTCCCCAGTAAAGATTCAGCTGAGCCGACCCACTCTTCCCCAGACAGAGATCCCTGTTAACTCTTCTGAGGGCATGTTCCCTAGTTGTCTCTGCCCCACTTTCTGGGATGGGGTCTCTCCTAACCCCTCCAAACCCATCTTCTTTTCCCTGGATGGACAACCCAGTGTCCTGCTTCTTACCTCTCTCTGCAGCAGACCTACAAGTGACCCAAAAAAGCTTCAATTTTGCCAGGAAATTCTCCCTGCCCCTGTACTTTGTCTCAGCTGCTGATGGCACCAACGTTGTGAAGGTAATAATCAATTTCAGAGGCAGCCTGTGAGGTGGTACAGTTAGAGGGAGGCTGGGAAGGGAAGGGATGGGGAGGACAGGAAATGGGTGTGTGCCATGGGAAGGGCCTGGGCTTGATGCAGGAGAAGTCTGTTGTGCATGGAGTCAGGATAATAGGGAGAAGATAAACTGAAGGGTGAGTTTGCCGTTTTGGGGGCCTGGGGCCGTCCTGCCCACTGCTGCAATCTCCATCTGACCCTCAGCTCTTCAGTGATGCAATTCGATTAGCTGTGTCTTACAAGCAGAATTCCCAGGACTTCATGGATGAGCTTTTAGCGGAGCTCGAGGTAGGCGGGGCCCAACTTGGGGTGGAATAGAAAAAGCAGGCTGCTGGGCTCTGCCTTCCTTTGTCACCTCTAAGTGGATCAGAACTACTGTTGGGCAAACATAGGGCCAGACCTCACCTGTGACCTTGTTCACAGAACTTCAAGTTGGAGCAGAAAGAGGAAGATGCACCAGACCAAAAGCAGAGTGGCAAGACCAAGAGCCCATCCCTCTCCTGATCAGAGGGCAGCCTGTTGTTCCTGACACGGGGATAAACCTGGGGATACCCCTCAAGCTCTGAAGGGAGGGCCCCTCCAAGCCACCCCTGCTCGGCATCCTGCAAACCCACATCCATGGTGCCGGAGGCGATGGGCACTGACACACTCTGGACCCACATGAAGACCCACTTCAGTTAGGGATTGGTGTCTTTCACACCTCCCTGCCCACCCTGGCCAACAGTGGAGAGAATCCAGAAACACTGTGTCTCTTTAGTAAACAGACTTTCAGGCAGTTGGGTTTTTTCTTCCCAAAACTGACCTCGGGGACTATTCCTGGTACTTCTGCCAAAAAAATGATTTCTTATCCCTGGTTACAGCATTCCCCTACAGCAGAATGTGTGAGGCTCTGTTCTTTTTCCCCTTTAGTAAACCAGCCAGCTTTTTTAAAGATGTTTTTAAGCAGACAGATTGTAGATTTTACTCCGTTTCAGGAGATCGTGTGGGTCAGGCAGACATTATAGGAACAGGTTAGCCATTTAAGTAAAAGCAGGTGTTGGGTATAGCTGTATTTGGTCCAACACATCAGATTGTACAGCCACACCACAAGAAATACCCATTTGGATTACAAAAAAAATGATTTTCAGAACAGCTACCATTAGAGCCTCTGTCGGTATAGGAAGATTTCCTCCGCTACTGCAGGAAGAGTTCAGCACTGCCTTCTGGAGGTGGCTGAGGCATGTAAAGGAAGACTTGTCTGCTGCCTTTCCTCCCCTGCCCAGGAGCTGTGGCTTGATAATATGCCCTTATTATCATCTATGGCATTATTTGCATTGTTGTCAGTAATTTATTTTGTTAGTCTCTCTTATAATAAAAATTGAATTAAAATACTGCGTGCCATCTGGGTGAATGTGCACTAAGGGAAAAAAAAGACACAGATCATCAACCACATTAATGAGGGAGACTGCCTTGATCTGCCACAAGATAGCCTATGTTAACTCTTGAGTGACCATAAAGGAGACCCTTTCAGTGGAATGTAGTGTTCTCAGAAGTGTAGGTATTGATCTTGGAGCTCCAGAACAAAAATGATTCCACTTCGAAAAAGTGATACGTGTTTGAGCTAGACTTCACCTGACCAAGGCTTTTCAGGAATGTACTGCTCTAAGAAAGTGGGATTTTAAAAAAGAAAAACTAGTTATTATAAATGACCAAGACGTGTGAGATGGGTTACTTTATGTTTTGTTGTGTGGTACCAGGGATCAAACCTAGGGCACACTAGGCTAGGCAAGCACTTCACCACTGAGCTACACCTCTGGCCCAGTAATTTTTTTTTTTCCTTAAATTCTTTTCTTGGTACATTTTAGGTATGCAATACGTTTCCATTTATCATTGGGTGCTTGTACCTGTACATGATGCATCTTGATTCTCATTTTTTTCCCCATTACCTGTGCGCCCTTCACCCCCTCCACCCTTCCCTATTTACGTAGACTTTGTTTCCATGTTTTCTTTTCTCATAATTTTTCCTTTCCCTTCTTTCCTTTTCCCTTCTCTCCCGCCACCCCTACCCCTTTGGACCTTTTCTTCCTATTTCAAATTATCAATTATTCATTTTAATCATTTTAATCCTTATTTACACTTTCAGTTTCTCACACTAGAGAAACTATTCGGTAGTACTATTTTTAAATGCAAACAGTTTTGTTGAAATAAATATCACTTACTAAAATTCACCATCAGTATTGATTTTACATGTCTTTTTTTTTTTTAAATCAGGCTTGCTAGAAGCAGAGTCTGAGAAGGTAGTTGTTCAGATGTCGTACTGGGATCATTCCTAAATGAGTGAGGGCAGGAGAGAGTGCAGGAGAGAAGAAGCTGAACAAGGTTATAGCCTCAGCAGAAGATTCAGTCCATCCCCATTCCCAGGGAAGCTCTGGAGGACAAACTGCCTCAAAGTTGGTCCAGCCTCAAGCCCAGGAACCTCTTGTGCTAGTCAGGCAAGAGTATGAGGTAAATGGGACAGCTCATAGCCTCCAGGGTAAAGTGGCTCCAAAGCAGCTAGGGCCCTTTTCTGGGAAGGAGGGGAGCTGGGAGTTTTATCCATCAACACTCAGTGCACTCAAGGGGTGGATGCTCAGGTAGAGAGCCAACAGCATCCACTGCCAACACATTGCTCAGATCCACCTGCTTAAACAGTTCATTCTAACCTTAAGCCAGAGCTTCCCCAAGTTTTTAACTGGGGTCCCAGATTCTGGGAAGGGGTCAGCATGAAAGGAAAACCAGAGCCCTCTCTGCAATTGAATTCTCTTGGAAACTGAAACACATCTACCTTTTCTACCACCATCTTCTGGCTAGCACTTCTGCTGGTCTGCATGGCTTGCCTGGTGGGTACAAGAACTAAGAATGTGGATCACCTAAGTACTGAGACAGAGGAGAGGTGCCTGTCAGAGAGGGAGGTGTGGTCTGGCCCACAGCTGTATGCCCATCACCTGCTTCCCTGACATTTTGTTGAACTGTCACTGTGACAGCCACATCATCACAGGCCTACACCTGGACCAATGAGCAGATCCAAATTTGAACCAAGCAGTAGCCTACACTTGCACCAATTACAGGCCTGCAGCTGCTATATAAGCAGCACTTTCACACTTCTCGGGTTAGTCTAAGAGGGCCCCTTCTGATGTATTCACTCTTCTGTGATGCTACACAGGTCCTGTTAAAATCTGCTCATGAATTATCTTGGTAGTATGAGCTAGGAAGCTCCTGTAAATCTACTTGGCACTCTAACCCTGAGTAGTGTGGACAGAGTAGTTGCTTTAAAAAAGAGCCATAAACACTAGGGGCTGCTAGTCCTGAAGAGTTCCAGAGACCTGCACCCAGCAGTCACTCAGTGGCATCCAGCACAAGCCAGCATCAAATGGCAGTGGTCAGCAGTAAGAGAGAGCACACCGGGCAATGCTGACCTATGATGTCCAGCATTAGTTGGTGATAGCAGAGCTGTACTTTGCTGAATCGACCAAAAGAACCCTCAACTGATTGGCAACAGTCCCAAATGCATTCCTCCCAGTTTCTATTATACAGCAAAATCCTTTCTTTCTAATTCTGATCAAGGAAAATTACCTCTTTTCAGAATGCTAATTCTTCACTTTGCTTGCCAGTTTACTTGCACATGGAGAATTGAGGAACACTCATGGCTTTATGTTTTGTGAAACTTAACTGTGTCACTTAATGGAAAACCTCTACCCCACCAACACATCCATTCACAGAGCATACAGTTGCAGACAGGAAACAAATTCCCCAAGTGTGTCACTGAGCAAGGCACTCTTATATCCACTCCTGGACATGGGACACAGAACTATATATTGACAGTTGAGTTGTATACCACATCCTGAAGGGCCCTCATCCCAATAGGGTGTCACCTCCAAACTGACAACTTAACTGGGTCTTTAAGAGGGCCTTATTGCTCTTCTGGAGCAGTCGCTTCTGGATCATGTAGTATTTAGAGGGAGCAATAGGCATGTGCCACCACTGCACTTCTAGGCAGTAAAGGGCTGAGGTGATCTTTTGCAAGATCCTTTATCAATAGAAAAAAGTTGGGTGGACCTGGAGACTGAGTCATGCTGATAAGGTACTCCAAGCAGAAAAGGCAAGCCCACAGCCAGAACAACTCTTTTTTTTTTTTTTTTTTTTCTTTTGGTACCAGGGATTGAACTCGGGACCTTGGGTTTGCAAGGCAGGCACTGGAACCACTGAGCTAAATCCCTGGCCCCCTGGAACACACTCTTTTTTGTGTTTTGTTTTGTTTTGTTTTGTTTTGTTTTGTTTTGTTTTGGTACCGAGGATCAAACTTGGGTCCTTGTGCTTGCGAGCCAGGCGGTGGAACCTCTAAGCTAAATCCCCAGCCCAGAACACACTCTTAATACATTGTTTTCACTCAAAGCATGAAACATGCTTTCTGGGATGGGATAAATCAATGCAATCAACTTGCCACTAAATATCTCACTGGTCTCTTCAAAAGATACTAGACATCAGAGTTCAGGACTGATCTCTACTAAACATGCAGTGGCATTAGTCAGTCAGCCTTGAGGCCCATATACAGTCTCCAACTCTGCCATTGTAACCACCCTTGCTCCTGAGCCCCTGAGTGAGCACTGGGATGGCCAAGCACAGAGGCTAACTGGCATCTACTAGTCAGCACCACCTGTCTACTGTGTTCCTCAGTGCCTCTTTTGCAGTGACGTACTCCAGTGACAGTCTACAAAACAATGATTCTCTGCCCTTATGTTCACTCCCACAGGTTCATCTTCATGTCTCTCCTGAAGACTTTCTGTTTATTTTTCAATTAACAATAATTGTATATGTTTATGGTCCTAAAGACTTACTTATACCTGATCACTTGGATCTTGCTCCTCTCAGACTAAGCCTATAAATCTACAAATTCCCCAATGTCAGGACACTTCCTTCTACACAATGTGTGCAGCCTCTTGCATTGCCTGAAACTCTACCTATTGACTTTCCCCTTTCCACCCACTATCTTTCAGTGTCATCCCCCAGTAGGCAGCGGTCCACTTTTGGAACCCATGCACCTAGATAACCCAAACCAATAAACTTCTAGTTTTACCAATGTGGCAGGCTCCAAAATATTTTTAGGGCTTATCTTCCATCCTCTGGAGTGCATGCATCCTATCAAGATATCCAGAGTACTTAGCTCCCGGGGCCCAATTCACATGCAGTTGTCAATACAGTGGATTAAAATGATGTTCTCTGGGAAGTTAGGATGGTCCAGTTAACTTCGGAGTAAGAGAATTTATATAGCCTTGGGCAAAAGCAAGGGTCTGTATAGTGGTCCTATGTGAGTACAACTACAGGTCCTTCTTCCTGATAGGTGTGGAAAAGGGTTCATGTTTCAAGTGACAATTGTATACTGTGTTTCCTAGTTTCTCTTATTCTGCTGCTGAGTTTGATGATGTGCTGAATCTGATTTGCAAGTATTTTGTTGAGAATTTTCACATTTATATTCATAAGGAATATTGGCCTATAGTTATCAAAATGATGCTGACCTCATAGAGTTAGGAACTATTTCTTCCTCTTGTTTTTATGCAAGCATTTTAGAAGGATTGGAGTCAATTCTTTAAATGTTTGATAGATTTCACAAATGACGCCATCTGGTCTAGGCCTTTCTTTCGGGGAGGTATTTGATTACTGATTCAATCTCTTCTAGAAAAATCTATTCTGACTTTCTCTCTGTTTTTGAGTCAGTTATGGTACCTTGTGTGTTCTAGGAAATTGTCCATCTCACCTAGGTTATCTCATCTGTTGGCATGCAATTGTTCATAATATTCTCATAGTCCTCTTTGCCTCTATAAAATTGGTACTAATATCTTTATTCTTATTTTTTATTTTGGCAATTTGAGTCTTCATTCTTTTACTCTTAGTCATTCTAGCTAAAGGTTTGTTACTTTTGTTGCTCTTTTCAAAGAACCTCCTTCTGATTTTGGTAGCTATTATTTTTCTCGTTTCTGTATTTTGACTCTAATCATTATTTCCTTTCTTATGCTAGCTTTAGGTTTAGTTTGCTCTTTTTTTCTAGATTTTTCATTTCAGGCATACAGGTCATACAAATAGATTATAGATTTCATATTTTTTATTTTTTAATATAAGCATTTACAGTTATAAATTTTATTCTCAGTGTTCTGCTTTGCTACATCCCATAGTTTAATATGTTGTATTTCTCTCTTAGTTCACCTTAAGGCATTGTCTAATTTCCCCTGTGATTTAACCCACTGGTTGTTTAAGAATGCATTGTTAAGCGAGGTGTGGTGTTGCATGTCCATAATCCCAGCTACGTGAGTGGCTGAGGCAGGATGATCACAAGTTTGCAGCCAGCTTGAACACTGTAGTGAGACCCTGTCTCAAAATTTTAAAAGGGGAAAGAAGCTGAGGATATAGCTCAGTGATAAAACACTCCTGGGTTTGATCCCCAGTGCCACAAAAAAAATCCATTAACTTACACATACAAGTAGATTTTTCAGTTCTTCTGTCCCTGATTTGTAATTCTATTCTCCTGTATTCAAAAAAGATACTTTACATGATTTCATTCCTTAAATTTATTAAGACTTGCTTTGTGACCTAACATACAGTTGGTCCTGGGAATTGTTCTAGATACACTTAGGAAGAATAAGTATTCTGCTCTTGCTGAGTGGAATGTCCTATATATGTCTGTTATTAGTTTGTGCTGGTATTCAAGTTTTATGAGGGGTGTAGTACTGGAAATTGAACCCAGGACCATCTCACTGAGCTACATCCCTAGTCCTGTTGTTGTTGTTGCTGCTGTTGCTGCTGCTGCTATTGAGACAGGGTATTGCTAAATAACTTAATTGCCCATACTGGTCTCAAATTTATGACCCTCCTGCCTGAGCCTCTGAGAGTCCTAGGATTACAGGAATATGCTTGCTTTTCCCATATGTTTTTAGTAATTTTCTCAGTGTTATGTTGAGAATTACAATTATATCTTAAATTCATTGCAAGCTAATTTATGTAATATTTATTTATTTATTTATTGGTACCGGGGATCGAACTCGGGTCCTTGTGCTTCTGCAGCAGGCAGAGAAACCACTAAGCTAAATCCCTGGCCCTAATTTATTTTTGATAGTATATCAGTACTGCTACTATTCATATCTGTCCTTCTCCCTTTATATTATTATCACAGATTACCTTTTTATACTTTGAGTGCCTGTAATATGGATTTAAAATTACTATTCTATGTATTTGCCTATTAAGTTATATAGGAAAGGACAGAAACTATAAACTATATCAGAAGTAGAAAAATACTTGCTTTTGTTTGTAGCTATATAGTTACCCTTACCAGTATTTATTTTTTCTTATGGTTCCAAGTTATTCTTTTGTTTTCTTCTATTTCAATTTAAAGAATTCCCCTCAGCTTCTTCTAGGACAGGTCTACTGGTAAAGAACTCTCTCACATTTTTTGTAATCTGCAAAAGTTTTAATTTCTCCTTCATTCTTGAAGCATACTTGGCTGGATGTAGAATTCCTGATCTATAGATAAAATTGTTTTTCTTTAGAATTTTAAATGTGCCATACCACTACCTTATGTCTTCATTCCTTCTAATGGGAAATCAGCTGTTACTCTTATTGAAATTGTTTTTATATAAGTTGCTTTTCTTTTGCTGCTGTCAAAATTTACTCCTCTTGGGCTGGGGATTTAGCTCAGTGGCACCACGTCTGCCTCACAAGCCCAAGGTCCTGAGTTCAATCCCCAGTACCAAAAAAAAAAATTTACTCTTGTGTTTTGAGAGCTTTTTTGTTTGGTTGGTTAGTTGAGTTTTTTTGGTATCAGGGATCAAGCTCAGGACCTTGGGCTTGCAAGGCAGGCAGCGGCAAGAGAGTTTGATTTTAATGTGGGTCTCTTTGAATTTATCCTGCTTTGAGTTCTTTGGAATTCTTGGATGTGTGTATTCTTATCCTTCCTCTAATTTGGGAAGTTTGAGAAGTTTAGGGGCCATAGATTCTTCAAATATGTTTTCTTTCCATTTTTTCTCTTCTCCTCTTCCTCCTCCCCCCCCCGCTCTCTCTCTCTCTCTCTCTCTCTCTCTCTCTCTCTCTCTCTCTCTCTCTCCTGAAACTCCTATAATTTATATCTTATTATGTTAGATGGTCTCCATAGTTTCCTCAAGCTTGGTTCAGTTTTCTTCTAATTCTCTTTTCTTTCTATTCCTCGGACTGAATTTTTCCAATTATTTTCCCTTCAGATTCATCAGTTCTTTCTTCTGTCTGTTCAAGTCTGCTCTTGAACTCCTCTAGTGAGTTCATTTCAATCATTATACCTTTGAGCCCATGGTTTCTGTTTAGTACCTGCTATAGTTTGGATCTAGAATGTCCCCTAAAGCTCATGTGTGAAAGGCATGGTCACAAGCCTACAGCACTATTGGGCAGTGGCTCAGTGGTAGACTGCTTGTCTAGAAATCACAAGGGCCTAGATTCAATTCCCAGTGGTGTACACACACACATGTGCACACAACACACATGCACACACACACACGCACACACACTGTTTAGAGAATTAAAAGAGAGGGGCCAGGGATTTAGCTCAGCGGCACCACACCTGCTTCACAAGCACAAAGTCCTGAGTTCAATCCCAGATCTGCGCGGGGGGAACCCTGAGAATTAAAAGAAAAACTTCTAACAGGGAAGAAATATTTTACAGATGCGTGTTACTGATAAATGGCACACTCAGCACATAAAGAGAACTATCAGAACTATAAAAATATATCAAAAATTTATAAATAGGCAAAAGATTTGAAGAGAAACTTCACCAAAGAAGATATTTGGATGACAATAAGCACATGAAAACGAGGTTACCATCACCAGCCATTAGGTAAATGGAAATTAAAATCACAATGAAATATTTCCATATAGCTATCATAATGACTAAAATTAAAAAGACTAACTAGACCAAGTGCTGTGTAGGATGTAGAAAGATAGAACTGTAGTAATGCAAAATATTGCAACTACTTTGAAGAAATATTTTGGCAGTTTTTTAAAACTTGCTTAACATACACTTACTGTATGATCTAGCTATTCTTCACATAGACACTTAGCCAAGGAATATGAAAATATGTGCATATTTTGTTAAGCAAAAATATAAAAGGCTTATGAATATGAATATTCATAGCTGCTTTATTTGTTATAGTCTAAGCTGAAAGCAACCCAATATAAATAAAAAAATAAATTGTGATATATAATAAAGTATTTGGCAATAAATAAAGGAATAAATTACTGCCAGGGATTTAGCTCAGTGGTTTCGCCGCCTGTTGCACAAGTACAAGAACCCAAGTTTGATCCCTGGTACCAAAAAAAAAAAAAAAGAATAAATTACTGATACATACTACCCCATAAATGACTCTCAAAATGATTAGCTGGTTAGTAGTCGGTTTTTTTTAAAGAGCACTTTCTTGAGCCGGATGTGGTGGCACACCCCTGTGGTTTCAGCCTGGGCCCAAGGGTTCAAGACCAACTTGGGCAACATGAGAGGCCCATTCTCAAAACAAAAGGATGTATGATGAATATACAAAAATCAACTACGTTTCTGTACGCTAGCAAAGGGCAAATTGAGTATCAAAATATAAAACACTTGGGCCAGGGATTTAGCTCCGTGGTTCTGCCACTTGCCTTGCAAGCATAAGGACCCGAGATCGATACCCGGTACAAAAAAAAATATATATATGTATATATATATAAAACACTTAAGATTAATTCTAACAAATTAAGATTAAAACACTCAAAACATTACTGAGAGAAAATAGTCATGACCCCTGCTTTTTAGGTCACGTGGACTGTAACATGTATTGTGCTTGCTTAGCAGTTAGAAGATGACTAAGAGCCTGGCACCAGGGAGATTATAGAATTTGGCCTAAAGGAGCTGGGGACTGAAAGTAACTCAGCTAGCTTGGGATACATGAGACTCTGGCTTCAGTCCCCAGCAGAGGGAGAGAGGAAAAAGGAGAAGGAGAAGGGGCAGAGAGAGGAGAGAGGACAGGAGGGAGGAGGGAAGGAGAGGAGAGGAGACTGTGTCTGGGAGATATCCCAAAAGCCAACAAAATTGCCAAGTTCACATTCAATCATGCCAGCTTTTTAGCCAAGGCAGAGAGAATTTGATTTCTATCAAATGTTGCTATGCTGCAGAGCTAGGGGCTCTCAAACCCATATGCAAGCCTTCCCATGTGACCAAACCAAAGTATTTCAGAGCGTTCATGGGAAGATTAGTGGTGCTGATTGCTCCTGTGATGACCATGGCTTATTCACTGGCAGCTTCTCACCAGTGGGCTCCCATGTGACACCCACACTCACAAGCATTTACAGTGTGTCAAGCCCTGCTCCAAATGTGTCCCCCTTGTCCTTATTTCATGGTCACACATCCTTCCGGCACATCTTTCCAAGGACACAGAGCTGATGAGGGGTAGAATGGGGGCCTTGTCTGAACCCAAGCAGACAGAAGAATCCCAAACATGAAGGCTCATGGCTGCCTCATCTTCCCATTTCCAAGCCAGTCAGGAAATTATTGGTCCCTTGGGCTTTCTCAGCTGAGTCTGATTTACAACCTTAACCGGAGTGGCCAGTTGATGGAGCCCATTAGGATTTCTCTACCAGGATTTTGCAAGCAACTGTAAGTACTTCTGGCTGGGCCTAGCCCTACTTGGGCAGTGTGGGCCAAACTGAACATCTCAGGCTCTCTGCAAAAACTTCAGACTATGGTCATGCTTCACCAAGCTCCTCATCATTCCTAGGTCTGTTTCTGGCCTTTCCTATTGGTTCTGTGTAGCATCTTTGTATCCTTGGCACTTTTATGGTTTCTGTTCCTTGCAATGGAAGATCTTAAATAATGTTATGGAAGTCATTCAAAACTCATTCAAAAAGGCGCTCCAAAAGGTACCCCTACATACACACACTCACACTGCTGCAAAGCTTTAACAAATCATTTTTAAATTTCCCTGAGTCCAGAAACTAATAGGGTTAGCCACAGGTCAGTAATGAACTTGGACTGGCAGTGTTCAATTGGCCAGCCACCATTAAAGCACAAGTAAAACTGTGTCTGGTACGGAGGTTTGTTGTGTTGACTGCCCAGTAGCTATGCTGGGGAATCCAACCTTCCATACAAAAGCTTCTTTGTGGATGTCTTTAAATGGCACCTATAGAACAAGGCTTCCTAGTAGTAGACTTTGACCCTCACCCCTTTTTTCCCAGGCAGTCTTTCCCTGCCACACAGCCACTGTTCTGATTTATTTATGCAAAGTCAGCCCCTCATTGCTAAGTCCTGTCCATTTCACTAAGTGTGAAACACAGATCATACCAAGCCTATGGTCCCAGGTCACTTTATTCCAGTCTTAAAATTTAAGATTTAGCACCTCGCCTGCCTCACAAGCGCCAGGTCCTGAGTTTGATCCCAGCACCCCAAAAAAAAAAAAAAATTAAGATTTTAAAAACCACAATTTACACAAATGTCTGAGCAACTCATACATTCCATCCCCTTAGAGGGAATAGATTTGATGGAGGAAGGCTTGGGTTGAGTAGAGGTGGGCAGATAGAAGGCCAAAAAGCGTTTCCTCATGTGTATATAGATAGATATATTTGTAAATACATCCATTTATTTATTTCAGATGAACTGTTCACTAGTCTGTTGAGAATAATTTCAGATCAGAAAGAGATGGGTTCTGGGAGCTCTGGTATCTCCATGCCGTAAGAGCTCTTTGGGCCAGAACGGCGCATCCCTTCAGAGCCTCAATGAGCTGCTGGAGGCGCTGGGCAAAAGAGAGTCCTTGGGTCGGTCTGGTGGGCGATGGCGGAGGAGGGGGAGAAGGAGGCGAGGGGGGAGGAGAGGGGGAGGGTCGGGGTGGGCCCTGGGCTGTAGGCGGTTGGGGCTGAGGTGCGAAAGGTTGAAGGGGTCGAGGAGGAGGAGGAGGAGGAGGAGGAGGAGGAGGAGGGCGAGCAGGGCTTTGGAAATACCAAGGAGGGTTTGCAGCGGGGGGGCGGGAAGAGGTGGGCCGGGCTGGGGGCCTTGGCCGAGAGGGGGGAGGGGGAGGGGTAGCTGGCTGAATCGCATGCAGGACACTAGGACCAGTCTTGGAAGCAATCCACTCCAGATAGTCCCAAGTCGCTGTGTAGATTCCAGGGCGCTTGGCACGGGCACAGCCTACCCCCCAACTCGTGATCCCCACGACCACGAAGGGGCTGTTCGCGTTGTCTCTGCACATGAGAGGCCCGCCGCTGTCCCCCTGCCCAAAGGACAGAGCAGTCACTTGCCCTGAGCCACTCTCCCTGCCTGGGGGTCATGGGCTCTAAGAGGACAATTGCTGCAGCTATGTGGTTTCCTGATGCCAGAAAATAGATGGCTGTGGTCAAGCTTGAGCTGGTGCCGCAGCCTCCAGTGAGGTGGGAGAGGGAGGTGGCTAGCGTGGGTTCCCTGCCGTGAGGGGGTGCGCGTGTGGCTGGTGCCTGCAACACAGGAGCTTGTGTGACTCTGGGTGCTTTGTGTTCTGGGGAGGGGAGATAGACATTCTCTCCAGGGACCAGGTTCGGGCGATGCATCCTTTGTGCTAAGTGTGGTGACAGTTGTCTGTGGGGGTAGCTGATAGGAGTCACCTCCAAGTCCTCAATGTAACTACTGATGCTGGGAGAAGGGACCAGGGAAGGAGTCACTAGAGCCTTTGGCAGGAAGTGGAGACAGTGAAGCTTAGGGTCCAAAAATAAGGGTCTGGCGTGCCCTGAAGGGACCCAGGGGTCTGGCACCAGAAGGAGGGTTACCTGGCAGGTGTCGATCTTGCCTTCTGGATAGCCGGCGCACACATTGGTTGACATGACCCTCCCATTGTACCACTGGGTCGAGTTACACAGGTCAAGGTCAATAAGCTTCACACGGGCCTCCAGCAGCACAGGCGATGGCCTAGGGGCTGTAGCCAGGCCACACAGTGGTCAGTGATCAAGGAAGACACAGAAGGAAGCCCTGCCTCTTCCCTCCACCAAATTCCCATCCTCTAATGCTCTGGTTGAACCCAGATCTCTCAGCCAGAGTCCCACCTGTCCTCATATACTCCTGCACAATGAGAGAGGAGAGTGGGTGGAGCTGGAGACCTGTCACCAGGATGAGGGGCAGGGTGTGTGAGCATGGGTACTTAAGGTAGATAGGGCTGACAGAGGTTAGTTGTAGCCAATACTCATTTGATCTATATGGTCCTGTTGTTCTCACTTTGGATCTGGAGCTGGAGCATCATCCAGCCACAGTGGGGGTGCAGGGGGCTGAGACCTGGCCAAGATCACCCCTCTCCAGACCCAAATCTGAGACACATCTTCCATTCCCCACAATCTGGCAAGAAATCCCCCTCCCTGCTTTTTCTCCTTTGTCAGGGCTCCTCTTCAGTTGTAGACAGGATCCTCTGAAGCAGGACTGATTAGCCTGTCCCCAAGTGCTTCAGATCTGCTCTGAGGAGACTTTAGGAAAAGGAGCACTGAGTCGGGATCTCCTTCACAGTCCCAGACTCCATCACGACCTTGAGGTTAGGAAAGGCCAGCTATGCTACAGCTCACACAATCAGCTTACATGTGGCTCAAACAGCCCCCAAACCAGTGCAGCTGTGCCTCTTCCTCAAGTGCAGACAGCAGGGTCCCCTCCCACACAGCACCTGAACCCTGATGGATAGGTCTAGATGTCTGCAGCATGGGTGGGAGCAGCCTGATGTAGGGCAGACCTGGGTAGCACAGGCATATAGGCCTGATGATAAGGTAGGAGAAGCAAAGAGCCACATGTGCAGGGCTGAGTATGCAGCTGGCATTCAGTACGTGACTGCTGAATGCATGTTTGCCAGGCATTTTTCCAATCCAGGCAGCATGGGAGTTTTGAATGTGCCCTGCCTTTGGGACAGTGGCAATACTGAGATAACGATGACAATAATTTTTGGCTTGTTCACCATTAAAATGACTTCTAAAATCTATGGCAGGACCCATAGGCATGAAAGCTATGGGCCTCATTGTAAAAGAACCAGGTGTCCTGAAACCTGAAACCAGAAGATGGATTTTCTTAATCCTGGCCCCTTGGCTTTAAGTTACAGATGCAAAAAGCTTACAAGAATTCAAAATTCAAGGGAATGAAGACACACTCTGGGGCAGCTCTTCCAGTCCCAGAGCAGATGAGTTGAACCAGGAGGCAGAACACAGAAAGTTTGAGCAAGTCACAGAGTTTGGAGCCTGGCACCTTTCTCAAAGACTTGGGCTTAGGGGTGGGGAGTGTGTTTGTAAAAACAAAACAAGACAAAAAATAAAAAAGGATGAGAGATTGCCCATTACATTTCCATGGGGACTCCGGAACATCCAAAATGTAACTGGAAACCTACAACCCTCCTGAGCACAAGATGGTTTGGAGTAGACATCCTGAGATCAGCCTCCCGTGAACCACAAGAACCCTGAGCTGTGAACATTATCAGAGAGTAGATAGGAGGTGGGGCAAGAGTAACGTTGTCCTCACTTTGGGTGCCAGGGCAGAGCCACAGGCATCCGCACCTGGGATGGGGGTAGGAACCCCAGGCCAGGGACCAGTAGTCATGTGTCAGCAAAAGCTAAAGGGAACAAAGGTAGCTGGGATGAGACCACCATCCCTGAAGGACAGGACATGTGACAAACCTCTTGGGAACTACATCAACCTCCCTGGGAAAGAGGAATGTGAGTAAAGGGAATAGTCCCAAAATTATTAGTTTTCTATTATAAAAAAGACTGAATTTTAAATTCCAAAGGACTGAATTGCCTTGAATTAGGAAGCCTAAATTTTTTGTTATGAAAGAAAGAGAAGAGAAAGATAACTAAGTTAATTTCAGTCACATTTTCATACCCCTAGTGTGACTGGATGAAAATTCACACAACCACCTCTGGGAAGCTGAAAACATCAGTCATGTGCAGAGACCAAGTTCCAACTTACAAACCTTTGCTGTCCATTTCTGCCACCTAAGGGAGTGACCTGTTGCTTCGGGAATAAACAGTGCCTCTAGACTTCCAGTATGTGGGGAGGGTGTCTGGGACTCAGACAGTGACTGTGGTGTCAGTGTGACAGTGGGCCACTCCCTGGACCCTCCATAAGCTGCTCTGCTGTGGAAAAGAGTCCCCTATTCACTGCCCATCCGGTGCCAAATGGGCCTATAGTATTGAGTGGGTGAGACATCTAGGCAGGCAGCTTTGTCAAGGACAGAAAGGTACAGGGAGGCAGCAGACAGCTCTCATCTTGAATGGGAAGGGAACTATTAGACAGCTCGGAGGGGCCTAAAATACTGGAATAGCTATGAACTGCAGAAAACCACACCCACACCTGCTTCTCTCCCAGGCTACACAGAAAACTCCAGGTAACTCCGATGGAAAGGGTGGAGGTTGGTGCTCTGACTGCCCAAGGATGGGGAGCCCAGGTGCCTGCTGCTGCTGCTGGATAAAGACTGCCCTGGACTCTCAGAGGCCAGGATATTCAACTGGACATTCTTTACCTGTTAAAGAGTCCATCTGATCTGACCCTTCCATTTACAGATCAGAAAAACTAGCCCACTGCCACAGAAACACAACTAAAGTACCTCAAATGCTTTTCAGGGTATTTCCAATTTTCCAGAGCTCCAGATGCCAGAATCAGACACAGCGTTGACCTCATTCAGAAAACTGCCAAGGTTCTATTTGCACCTGTGTTCAGCCTTCCCTTAGAAAGCCACTAATTCACCAAATGCCGTGACCATGGACAGGGGACTCAGCTTCTCTTGTTTCTTCAGTTATGCAAGGGCACTGTGCCGGGGTGTATTTGTGGTGCGTTGATGAGAACTGAAAATTGCTCAGCCAGTCATCACACACGAACCCTGTACCTCACTGGCTTACTCCTGTATTCAGTTTTCTGTGCACCAAAAACCAGAATCCAGTCAGAATTTTCTGTGGGCACAAAGGTCATTCTCACAGACCGGCTAGACAGTGAATGTACTGGTGGGTGTAACCTTGGGGACCCTCCCTCAGGGCCCTCCCCTCTTGAATGCCCAGCGATGCCCTGCTCAGAACCCCTCCTGTACTCACCATTCTCCTTTATGTACCCCCAGCCAGCCACATAGCAGGTCTGGGGAATTTGGGGAGGGCCTGCCTTAAAAGTGGGCAGGCAGCCTGGCCCAATGAACTGTCCACATGAAAGAGCAGGGGTGATCTTCAAGAGAGCAATGTCATTCCCTTGATTCACACTGCTGTATTTTTCATGGATGATGATTTTCTCCACATATCTCTCCTGCACAGGTGCCCTCACTGGCTCATTGTTTCCATATTCAATTTCCTGTGCTCCAAAAACCAGTCTCCAGTCATAGACTTTTCTGTGGGCACAAAAGTCATTCTCCCAGACTGGTTGGACAGAAGTTCTAGGGACATCCCCCCCGCCCCCCGTGCACGTTCCCACACATACTTTTTGCTGTCGAAGCAGTGAGCCGCTGTCAGCACCCAGTGCGAATTCAGCAGGACGCCACCACACACATGGTACCTGCGGTTGGTGTGGGCCCTGAAGATCTGGAGGCTCACCATCCAGGGCCAGGCCCCGAGCTGTGCTGTCTGCCCTCCGATGAGTCGGACACCCCCATGTGGGTTCTGCCTGAACCGCAACCCACAGGGGCCACTGAGGAGAGACCAGACTTAGACCAAGCCCATCCTTATCTCCATGCCTGGAGGAGGCCGGAATATGGGGTTGGGAAAGGTGCAAAATAGCTGTGAAGTTAGGACGAGGCAGCCTGGGGTGTGCAGGAAGCCAGAAGCTCCAGGAAATGGTTTGGGGAGTTCTGCAGAAACAGGTTGTACAAGCCCTGGAAGTAGGGGGGCTGCGGGCAGAGCGGAAGGCTAGAGCCGAGGTTGAGGGACTGAAAGTAAAGGGATGCCATGACCTGGTGTCTTCAGAGCCAATCTTGGGTGAGAGAGCCTGGACAGAGGCAGGTGGTGAAGGGGGTCTTGGCGACAGGAGGAAAGCGTAGCTGCAAGCAGTGCAGCAGTCCATAGGCATGGGGCACGGTGGGAGCAGTGAGGGTCCAGAGATGGAAGTTCTGACCCCTGTGCCGCAAGCAGGGGCCAGTAGTTTGATGCTTGCTGGCATACAGGGTCCCTTGGGGGTGAGAGTACCTACAGGTGAGTGGAGGTGCTAGAGAGGCCTTTGAAGTTAGGCTAGAGTGAGACATCTCAGCTACCCGTGGGAGCTGTCTGTCAGTGTCTGAGAAGTGGGACAGTCAGTCACCAGGGAAGTGGGGGACACAGATCCAGGAGCTGAGGAGTCCCTTTCAGGGGACCGTAGACAAGTGGGAACCAACAAGCTCTGGGCTGGTGGTTCTGAGAGCAGGAAGAGCCTGTGCTGGGTATGTGGGTCGCAGGAGCTATAGGATCCAGAGACTGCTAAGGCTTAATCTTCGGGTCCCTACCCCTGGACAGAGGGAGTCTGGGTGGGACCTGCTGTTCAGAAAACACCCTCCCCATCAAGGTCCCCTGACACTTACTCACAAGTGCCGTCATCTTTGGCGGTCGCAGACACAGCCAATATCAGCAGAACGGCGCTTGGCACCATCTCCACCATAGTCCCGCTCCAGCCAGACCTACGCTGTGACCTCACAGAGCTCCGTGGCTTCCTGGCCAATCAGCATGGCCACCCAACCCCCATCCCCACCCCCACCCCAACAAGTCCTACGGGCTCCTAGGTTTAACTGATTCCTGCTGAGGTGACTTTCTCACTTCCGGTACCCCTAGGGTGATGGCGACTCATGTATGTCCTCATTCCCTCCGTCGCAAGGCCAAGGTCTTCACTGATAATTATTCTTCCAAGGAGCCACTCTGTGGAGATTCATGGTCTGCTCCTTTTTGAGCTGTAACCATGGCAGACTCATGAACTAGGGAGCAGTTTGGCCCTGTGTGACAAGATGATGCAACATATCCGTAGTTCAAAGGAGCCTAGTTCAACAGATAAATGGATCCTTAATACTTGGCGGGGGAAACATATTTTTCAGTCTTCCACCGGTATGCTATTATTATAGATAGCTAAGTTAGGTAAAAATATTATAGGCAGTCAGTTAAGTCTGGGTCCTTGACAAAGTCAGTGCAAAAGATAAAAACACATTACAACTGTGGCCAGAGACACATCTGTTAGAGACCAGGCCTCAAGATAAAGACAAAATGACCAGGCCTACATACTTCCCCAAAGGACAAGATCAGTGGTAACACCTGGCCTAATGAAGTCTAGATCGACATCAGTCACCCTGGTGGGTGACCAAGACCTCTGAATCTGTTATTCCCTAGAAGAAGTCTTTGTTCTTTCCATGCACACTTGCTAGGTGATTGTTCCCCCCATTGGA